ATGAATTTTTAAATCAAAATTGTTAAGTTTATATGTAAATTGTAAGATTGTCGAAATAAAGGCTATTATTATTATTATTATTATTATTATTATGAAATAGCAAGCAACAGCCAGTAATTAATAAATCCATACTCATGAGTGTGAAAATTGAGCTGGATAATACAAAAAATAATACAAATGTTGTTTTCAAAATAATTAGTAAAAAAGCGAGATCAAATTGGATACTTATATACATATATGTACATGTTTGACGGACTTAATAAGTATTGAAACTTAATAACAACTAACAAAGTTATTTATAATTTTCATATACATATACATTATAATTTAATTATGCAAATGTAGTGTATAAGAATAATCGTCGACGTTTTTGCGTATGATAATTTAAAAAAGATACTGTAATAAAAGAACTTTTATTCCTTCGTCATTACTTTGGTATGTACGACTTCCTGTCTATGAAGTTATACTTCTATGACAATATTATAAAACTGTCAAAGAAAAACTATTAATATTATGTAAATAAAGAAAGTACAATGAACAATTTAAACATCATACGATACGATTTTACATAAAACTCTTTTTTTTAATCATTCGATCTCTCTTAAAAAAATAATTACGATAAGTTTAACGACTTGAGAGTAGCCCCAGTGGTTGAGAAAATAAGGAGTAAAAGGTTAGCGTGGTATGGGCATGTTATGAAAAAGGATGAATCGCATGTAACAAGAAGGACGTTAGTTATGAATGTGGAGGGGTACACCGGTAGAGGTAGACCTAGAAAGAGATGGATGGATTGTGTTAAAGGTGACATGACCAAGAAGGGAGTGATGACTGATATGACGGATGATAGTTATTTGGAGGACGAAAACCCGGTGCACTGTCCCTACGGGAGTAGGATAAGACAAGGGAGTTGGTAATAAATTTGACAACGTTTTGTATAAGATCATTGATTTTAAGGCAGATTTCTAACAGTTTTGAACACGAAGATTAAGCAATAAAAAGGCTTGTCTGAACACACGAATTTTGCTCTTAGCATATCACCGCGAAAACTATGACGTGTTTTTGCAACAAGTGAAGTCTTTAACAATACATCTTGCTACTGGATTGTAGATCTTATATCGCTAGGACTGGAACGTTCTTGAAATATTTCCGTCTGAATTGGCCACCGTAGACAAAACATCGACGCGGTTCGTGTGGGCGATATACAAAACATTATGGTTACTGGATGATCAATCTTTTCATACATAGCTTACGAGTGTTACTTGAAGCACATTTTTTTACGATTTGTATTTCCAGAATAGCTCATATTACATGCATAAATAAATTCAGACGAGTAAATTAGGGAATTAATTGCATTTGCGCGGCACGTTTAACTGATACCTACATAGCTCGTAAGAATTTAATTGACCCCGTGTGGGCGCAGTATGTCTTGGTGTCTATAGGTACTAAGTATCCTATATTGATTGCACAGTAAAGAAATAAAATAAAATTTTGAAATAACAACAAAAAATTAGGTTACAACGTGAAAAACATGCGTAAATATATTATTACAGTCTTGTGATAGTGTTTATATCTATTACATCTATAAAACCTTAGTAATAAAATAAAAGAGAAACAGATATGTGGAGCGTATTCGCCACAATGCTGTACGAAATTAAAACCTTTATAATCGTACTAGCTGTTCCCGTGCGGCTTCATCCGCATGAAATTGTGATTTTTTTATTTTATTTAAATTTGTCAAAATATCAATAGCAAATGTCAAACTGACATGAGATGACAAACCTTGGTAATCTTGTTTCTTTGATGTTGGCAGCAACTTATGGTCTTTTTCCGACATTAGGGTTTTTATCCAATATATTTACCCCCTAAGTTTAATGGCGTGAAAATATATAGCCTGAAGCGTGACGTAAGTGTAGGGCTTTTAATTTAAAAAAATAATTATTCAAAAATATGTTGTAATTGCTGACATCTTAGGCAACAAAGAAGTGTGTGTTTACGCTTTATTATAATAGGATAGATTAGTCATCTATGTATATCTATACATATAATAAAATTGGAGTATCTATTTGTGACATCCAAAAGAAAATTTTCAGATTTCGGGAAGATGATATTTGCTTTGCTGATAACGAAAATTGCATTTATTTTTTTTTATCTATCTCTCTGTCCGCAAGCCCCGTTTGTTCTGAGTAATCTCAGAAACGGCTGGGCCGATTCCGACCGGATTTTCACTGAAGGGTAGCTAACATAGACAGGCATATTATAGACTACTTTTTTTATCTTAATATTGCGTGTCAAGTCGCGTACAACAGCTAGTGATAGAATAATACGAAGAAAAATTCGTTTATAGAAACCGTCGTTTCTTGTAGCTTGCTATCTGTAAAGATTATCTGGAAATAATAACGTTTAATTATAGTATTTCAAGTTGCACATTGTCACGACATTACAAGCAATTACATAACATATATCAATACATAATTGTTATTCATATTTACACATACATATTGTTGCAGACATAACAATATTTCCCTACCCATAAATTTCCAGATCCAAACACCAAAGCAATAACATAATAATCTTAAATCATTTTTTTCGGGAATATACATATGTTTTTGCAATGAAATAACACCATTAAAATATAGTGTGTAGAAATGGCAACATCCAGAAACAGACTATAGGCAGGGTTACTAATCAAAATTACAGGAATATAGTGCAATTATATTCTGGTGTCATGTCTTGGGGTCCAATAAAAGAAAACCGAAAGTCATAGTATTAATACAAATGGTTTAACCGTTCTTTCATACGTGCTTATGAAAATATTATATGACGCACGTTATATAATACGACGTTTAAAAACATGTAACAATTATTATTACAATAACCAGGACCGTGCAAGGCTTTAATGCTATATTTATAATGTTATTACAACATTATGCAGGCATCTTTTAATGTTTGTACATTTACATTTTTCATATTTAATGGTGTCTTTTTGTTACGTAACGATGAGAAGATTATCAGAAAAAATTTCTTTATCTTATTAACTGAATAAAACTATTCTCCGTAAATAAAAGTGTACTCGAAATGCCTATTGTTTGTTTACCCAGGACTTAAAGAGCGCGCGTTCGTAGCTAAGATATAAATGGATCTTAAGTTATGAAAAATAATAACTTAAAATTTATAACTGAAATATTTTACATACTGTTACTATTTCTATACTACTATAATAAAGCGTTAAGACACAGTACTTTGTGGCATAGGATGTCAGCAATCACAGCAATTTTTAAATAATTCTTTCTTTAATAGAAAACGCCTAAACGTACTACGCCTAAACCCCTACGCTTTAGGCTAGATATTTTCTCGCTATTAAACTTAGGGGGTAAATAAATTGGAAATTAACATTCATGTGGGAAAGGGACCATAAACTACAAGCTGCCAACATCAAGGAAGCAAAATTGACATGGTACTTGGTATCCAATGTCAAAGGTCTTCGTTGTCATTTGTGCATTTGAATTTTGACACTTGCAATTGAAAATATAACAAATGTAAACAATACAATAAAGTTCTTATAATTTCACGCTGATGAAGCCGCACTGGAACAGCTAGTAAGTAAATAATGTAGGCGTTTTGTTAACTTTTGTTGCGGAAATCACGTTTAACGTATCTACTCTGTAGAAACAGTTATTTGCGCATTCACATAACAGCTATGAAATTACGTCAGGCGTTACCGAGAAAAAGATTAAATAGTTTTTATAGTTGTAATTAAAGATGCTGACGACCATCTCCTATTGTATCGGGTTGTGGTAATTTAAATACCGTTAGATCAGACTAATGGATGCGCGGAAAAAACAACAGGACTTAATATTGGTAAAAAGGTATTCTTTTTACGCAAGCTATCCTGTTAACAAGGTTTTCGAAGCATAATTGCAAAGTAGGCGATGCAAAAAATATAATCGTTCTAATCTACGTCTTGTCATAAATATTTTTAATAGTATTTTTGAATTGCCGCCTTTAAAGGGGCAATGATCCCTTAACTCCTACCAAGATTCCGTCTATTTGTCTGTTAATACACACTCTAAAAAGGTTTTTCTGTGACGTGTTTATAAAATATTCAGTTCTTTTTATATGAAAATCTGTCCGTTTGCATATCGTATGAATAAAAGACAACTTGGAGATTCTTCGAACATCTAGACAACGGGATCGAGTCCGAAGTGCGGCTATGTAAGACACAAGTTAGAAAGCAGCACAGGGCTACTTTCAATAGCCCTTCCGTAATTCAACGTTATTGAAAATACAACTTTAACACAATGGCATAAACCATTAAGTCGCAAACAACGGAAATGTGTATTGAAAGCTGACATAAACGTTGGCACAATTTTTAGATACGGGCACTTGCATTATTTAAATGCACAAAAATGTTCTATTATTGAACAGATATGTTAACGTTACACAAATATGCATGTTAGTTCGTTTTAGGATTCTAGGTTATGAAATTAACGAATAATTTTTAAAATTAAAGAGATGTTTTATAAAAAACTTACTTTTTAGGTAAAGTGTCTCAAATATTTATCTTCTTTCTTAATAAAATTACACGATTCAATTATATTTTATTAAACTCTAAACAAATAGGACTTAAAAGACAGCTGACATATTTGCAAACAACAGACGTTTGACGTTGACGTATCTTAAAGCGCGTTTACGAAGCATGCTTGTGAAAAGTGTGAAGAGTACAATATCTTTTATGATTTTTTTTAAAGAAAAGAAAGTTTTTTTGTCATTACTGTGTTAATTTGTTTGATATTGACAATAATTTCTTCATATACAAGAACTCCAAATCGCTTCGTACAGTTTTTGCTTGGTACGTTATTAAACAAAATTATTGGATTTATTCTTATACTTTGATATTGTTCCATAAAAAGTAGTTAATTAATTGTTTTCTAGTTTTTTTTTGTTTTTTGAGTCTACTGCAGTCACATGAATATCTACGTAAAGTCAATAAATAAACACGTATTTAAAGTTTTGTTATTTCAAGCTGAATGTTCCTAGTACACGCGTTTTGAAATAAATTTTCGTGGTCCAGTATTTTAAAAAACCGTACAACCGAAATATCTGTACTTATGTTATGAATTATTATAAATTTATGTTCAAATCACATATTCTACTTTTTTTTATTACACGTTTAGGGGATTTTTTTATAATCATGTAATAATGTTTTTTTCTTTCTAGATAAAACTGAAACGTTCCAACAATGCTTCTACTACCCTGCAGCACCATGTTAGATGTGCCAGACAATGTAAGTTTACCTTGAAACTTGAATTTAACTTAAATTGTTAAGTTACCGATTGTTAGCATCTTTTCTGATAAAGTCCTGATTTTAAAACATAATTTCACAATGATTTAATTTTTCTTTGTATTAAAAAAAAACTGACCATATGAGTTGTTGTTTGGCTATTTTTTATTCCCTTTTGTATGAAAGTAATCTAAAAACAATAGAGCTAACATCGATGTAGGTCACACAAACAGGTGAGTGCTTAGCAAAACAAGAACAAACAAGTAAACCACTGTGTTATCTTTAGAACATACGCGTTCAAACATTAACTCAACCGTTTATCGCATCTTGTAATTGCACTCACAAATATATTGCCAAGGGTTGCCAGCACACAAAAATACAAGACAAGTTATGTACGAAGTCAGAAAGTACAATATAAAATAACCTATACTAGAATATTAATATTATAAAGAGGAAAGATTTGTATTTTTATATGTATTGAAGTACCTGAAAAACTATTCTTAGAGTTAGAAAGGTAATTTATCTGTATGTAACATAGGGTATGTTTTTTATCACTTTTTTAATTACACGCGGGCAAAGTCGCGAGCAACAGCTAGTATTTAGTAAAAAGCCGTAACAAATCCAATTGGAATCTTAATTTGGTCACGAATAGCCTAATAGGAGTACAAACTTCTAGAAGGTGGCCAACCGTTTTGAAATTTAGGGACAAAGGAAATCTTACTAGAGATACGAGAAAGTGACCAACTATATGAAAAGATTTTAAAAAGGATGTAATGCGGTTGATATTATAAAAGTGAAGCTGATATATTTAGGAACGTTATATTTTCAAGTTAGAAAACGAAAGCAAGCAGTAGACGCTTAATGACTAGTACATATGAATTTCCGATTTAGAGTTTAAATTGACTGATATTAAATTATGTAGATCTTCATCATCATCATCATCATCATCACCAGCTCACTATACGTCCCCACCGAGGGGCTCGGAGCCTACCCTAATAAGGGGTGACTAGGCCATAGTCAACCACGCTGGACAAGTGCGGGTTGGTTGACTTCACACATATCTTTGAATTTCTTTGCCCGACATGTGCAGGTTGCATCACGATGTTTTCCTTCACCGTAAGAACGTCGGGTTTTATGTACGTATGAAAATTCGAAAAATTATGTAGATAGGGTTGTTATAATTTCTCAATCCATTGTATTCGTCCATAGTTAAACTGCTTTGTTAGGTTGTAGCTTAGTTCAAATTGACACTAACACGAATAATGTTTAAATATTTTGTCCCTATTAATCGATCACCAATATAATGTTATTACAATCTGGTATTTCATCGTTATATAAATATAATTAATCCATTGTTTAACAGCACCGTGATAAATTCTGTCAACCCTGACTAATGAACGTAAAGCCATAGCGTAGTTTGCGCTGCGAAACATAGCGTATTACACGAAAATATCAACTTATTGTAGAATTTAGTGGTTTTTTAGTCCTATAAGACTATATTTTGATGAATATTGAAGTTCTTTGAATCCCTGATCGTGATAATGAATAAATTAAAGTGTGTTCAGATGTTTGTGGGTGATTTTAAATAGCAGGAATTGCTAGAAAACAAAAAGGTAAAAATTAACAGAATTTTAGTTTCACTGATTTAATTATTTCAGTACTAGCTTTCGTGACTCCGTCCGCGTGGAATTAAAAAATAAACAAAAATGAGTAGCCTATGTGTTCTTCCAGACTATCCTCTACATCTATAATAATAATAATAATAACTATAAATCTGGATGTACTACGGATCCTAAGAATTATCGACCGATTACTTGCTTGCCTACCATCTATAAGCTCCTAACATCCATTCTGAGA